GGGGCCATACGATAAGCGGCCAACACGCCCGGAATAAGTAAATCCCAATCGAACTGAGATTCGCTAACATGGTGACTCAGCATTGCAGTGAGCGTTTGGTGGAGGCGCTCGACCATACCATTCGTTTGGGAGTGGTCTGGCGATGTTCGAATTTTCTGTGTGCCCAACAGGTCGCACACCTCCCGCAGTAATTTGGAGTAAAAATGTTTCCCTTGGTTCGTCAGTAGATGCTCGGGGGGCACCCTTATCCATGACGTAGCCATCCAGGAAGGTGTCAGTGATGGCAGCTGCCAACTGGTTGGGGAGCGGCCAAGCCATAGGCCAGAGTGAAAAATATTCGACTCCCACCAGTAAATATTTATTACCCCGCGGGGTGGCGGGAAAGGGATCCATGATATCCAGAGCGACAAGCTCATTGATGCGGGAGACACAAATAGACTGTTAGGGTGGATAACAGGAGCTTGGCCAGTTGATTCTGCCGCGCACATTGCACACAACCTCTCAGCAGGTCCGCCACGTCCCTAGCCATGCCCGGCCAGAAAACAGTCACGTTGGATTGTGGCGAGGGTTTTGTGCACGCCCAAGTGCAGAAGTTTTTCATGCATTTCCCACACATTCATCCCTCGCAGGGCTGTGGGCACAACAACAGCGTAACGGGGTGCACCCTCATCCCAGCACATTAATAGGCCATCCCGCAGGACCACCCGAGCCAAGCCACTACGGCCTTCATCTCCATCAGAGTGCACGACGCGGCAGCGCATCTTGACCAGGGAAGCGTCCTCCATCTGGAGACGTCACCATTCAGCATGCCGCGTGCCACAGGATTGTCTGTCACCTTCAATGGGGCCACCTCAGCTGACGCTGCAAGGGGCGGGACCGAATCGTCTACAGGCTGCTTTCAGCGCCCAGATCCAAAATGCAAGTACAGTCGGCGCGCAGCGGCAACCGAGACAGGGCATCAGCATTGGAGTCCTGGATACCCTTTCTGTATGGAACGGTAAATGAGAAGTCCTGGAGGACCTCAAGCCATCATGACAGTTGGCCGAATGGCTGGTCTACCCGCAGCGCATATTGCAGCGCAGTGTGGTCAGAGCGCACTGTGAAGTGCCGGCCATATAAATATGGATGGTACAGCCGCACAAAAAAAACAATTGGCAGGAGTTCGCGGCGCGTGACGCAGCAGTGGAGTTCGGCTGGGGAAAGTATCCTGCTACCATATGCGATGACACACTCCACCCCGTTGACAACCTGAGATAAAACTGCCCCAATGCTGGTGTCACTCGCGTCAGTATCGAGGATGAACGGAATAGTGAAATCGGGGTAACGGAAGGGAGGGGCGTTGACCAGGGCCTCGCGAAGTGCCAAAAACGAGGCCTCCTCTTCCCCCCAATTAAACTTTTGACCCTTGGCTTTCAGCGTGTGGAGGGGCTTCGCAGTGGTAGCAAACCCGGCAACAAAGCGGCGGTAGTAAGATGCGAAGCCGATGAAGCTCCGCACCTCCCCCACCGATGTGGGGGTAGGCCACGTCCGAACGCATGCCGTTTTCTCGGGGTCAGTGGAAACGCTGGATTTACTAAGAATGTGGCCGAGATACCGCACAGACGTTTGCAGCAGGTGGCATTTTTGGGGCTTAAATTTGAGATTTGCCGCCCGCATTTTGGCAAAAACAGTGCGCAACCGATCGAGGTGTTCATCGAACTTGCGGCTAAAGACGATGACATCATCGAGATATGAAACAGGAGGCCCACTGGAGTCCAGCTAAAACTAGCTCCATTAAACGTAAGAATGTCGCCGGCGCGGAGTGGAGTCCAATCGGGAGCCGGTTAAATTCAAAAAGGTCCTGCGGCGTGCGGAAAGCCGTCTTAGGCCTGGAATCTTCGTCCAATGGAAACTGCCAAAACCCGGACAGGAGGTCGAGCGTGGAAAAATACTGGGCGCCCGCTAGGGCATCCAGGGAATCGTCCATCCGGGGGAAAGGGTAAGGATCAGCCATCAAAATTTTGTTGAGTTTCCGAAAATCGACGCAAAAGCGCAAGCTGCCATCGTGCTTCTTAACGAGCATAATAGGGGCTCCCCACGGACTGGTAGATGGCGAAATAATGTTGGCGGCCAACATTTCATCAACCGTTTGTAACCCGGCATTCAGGACCTGAATGAACGGGTCCCTGTCAGCAGACACCAGGGTCTGTGCCCCCGCTAGATCCAGCCCCCTCACAGCTTTGTTAGAGGGACCCAAGAGGATTCCTCCCGCTGTTGCTGCTGGGTCAAGTGGCTTTCGCAAGCGCAGGGGAACGAGCATTTGCGCGCCTGGGGGAATCCGAACTGTTTGAGACGCAAGCGCCTGTACCGTGGTGTTCACCGTACACAAGTGGGTTGGGGAGGGCAGGAATGCAAACCGGCATTTTTCCCAAACGACGCTTCCCCAGGGCCCCATCCCACGATGCCACTGCATATGTATACACATTACTCATTGTATATATGTGTGTAAGTGTATGTTTGTGTAAGTTTTAAGAATACAAGGTGCATTAACTCCCATCCTAACCTGTGAAACATTGTCTGTGGCAATCGACATGTTAAACCGTTGTTCAAACTTGATTTGAAGCTTTCGTGACTGCAGGAATTACTCTTTGGTTATTTCGGTAAAGCTACGTAGAAATAAAATAAATTAAATAATAGAATACTTTTGTGTTTCGATTGCAACACAAACAACCGTCATCAGGTAGAACTAAATTTGAGAGAGAGACAAAACACAGACACGGAGATACACAGACAGACACACGCAGAGAGAGACAACACAGAGACACACAGAGAGACAGAACATAGACACACAGAGACCCAATTCCTCTGTGTCGAGGCCTTAAATAGAGAGAGAGGGGGGGGCAGAGAGAGAGGTGGGTCTGCTGGAGCATCTGCTGGAGCAGAGAAATTAGCATGTCAATGAAAGACCCAACAAGACTGGTACATTTTATAGAGAGTTGTGTGGAAATCCACCCCTAAGCGACCGAAGGAGAAAAAGAACGAAAGCTTCAAATCTAGAATGGACCTATGAGAGCCTGGTAAATTTTAGAGAGAGAAATAGGCAGTTTGAGAAAACAAAATCTAGAATTTTTTTGGAAATGTAATGCAATGCAACACAGAGAGTCGGCTAACACAGTTAATGCATAGCCTGGTTGACTACCATCTCCAAAGATAGCTAAAATTATAAATTAAGTGTGAAATTTGACAAACAGAGACACAGAGAGATGTGTGGAAATCCACCCCGAAAGAACCAAAGAGTAAACCGTTGTTGTTTGAGCGAGCCACCTCTCCCACCTCTTCTCAATGTGTTGTTTTGGCGCTCATGAAATAAGATGATAGTAAATCCCGCGGGGCCGCTTTTGAAATCCTTTTGGCGCAGTGCTCAAAGCCTCTGAAAAACAGTGAATGCCTCCTTCACTCGCACAGACGTGGCCTTGGAGTCCCTTCTTAGTCTCTTCAGCTTTTGAACATTGTTTTTTACAATGTGTATTTTTACCACATTAGAAAAAACATAAATTGACATTAACCCAAGGCATAAATTGATGTTGAAGGATATTGCAGTTTTTTTTTCGTGTTATTTCGCTGCTGCCTGCCTCGGGAGCTGATCAGACATTGGACGGCAGGGCAATATACACTTTGTATTGGAATTATGATGGCATTACCATTCCTTAAACGTGATACACTCTCCTCAAAGACTATACACGAATGCAGCCGCTGCCAAGTTTGATCCTTCTGCTCTCTGCTTATTTCCAGACACTAATTTACTTTGTTGTCCATCCCCCACACCTCCAATTAGCATGGTTGGCGAAGTACAGTGCGAAAAAAGTTCAACATAGGTCATTCTTCACATGCTTATACATATACACAAAGGCCTCCTGTGGAGCCTCATAGTTTATCGCCATTATTAAGATGCCATCAAGGATTGCCTTTGTCTCTCTAGTCTCCTCAGTGTTGATGTTAGGTCAGGGCCTACGTAGGTTCAGATTCCATTTGCCACTGATGTTATCCATGGCCAGGGATTGATCTAAAGTCATTGAGTTTGTATTGCAGCTCACAAGCACTGCACCACTGCTCCCCTGTCACACACACACCACACATTATGTACTGCATACATGTGTGATGAGACAACTTCCAAGACACGACTTGTAGAGGGTTTCTTATCTATTTCTTAATAATTAAGGTCTGGGATGGATGGTGGTGGGAGTCAGGTTTTTTAGGTAGGCGTTCGAATGGGTGGCTTTCCTGTACATAGTGTCCGATTGAGCCATCTGGTCTCTTTCGATTAAAATATCCAAGAATGGCAACTTGCCATCCTTTTCCACCTCCATGGTGAATTTTCTGGCTGGGTGTGTGGAATTGATGTGGTTGAAGAATTGGTTCAGAGCTGGTCGGTCGTGTGGCCAGATGACGAATGTGTCATCTACGTATCTCTTCCACAAGGACGGACGTAGAGTGGATGCCTGAATTGCATCTGTCTCCTGATGACGACCGCTTGTGTTGCGATCGAAACGTCGTAGTTTTTTGGTTATTTCTGTTATTTCTTTGAACCTATTTACGTGACTTTACCGAAAGACCCAAATAATATGAAGTCTTGCAGTCACGAAAGCTTTAAGTCAAGATTCATCATTATTATTATTACAATATAAAAAATAAAGTACATTAAATGATGCATGTGCTGCTTTTTAAAGATGTTTAATAGGTGTGTGGTTGGAATTTGGCAGGTCACCTTTGTTAATACTTCGGGTGTATTAACCATAAAATAGTATGCGTTGTTTGTGTCAAAGTGGACCTTAAAAAGCCTATGATATTATTTTAACAAGAGTAGGCCATTACGTGCCAATGTAATGGTCCAAGTTCGTTAACTATTGCAAAAAACGACGGCAAGACTCTCATGCATCAGAGTTGAGACTCAATGAAGCTTTCCTGCATTGACAAGTGTATTATAATGTAAATGCGTTGTTCTTTTCCGTTTCTCTGGGGAGGCGTTCGCAAGGACCGCAAAGGCTTTCGAGGGGTCAAGCACAAACGTCAGCGCCCCATCCCCCAGAAGAATGGGGGAGGCGTCGGCGGCCAAGATGTGAGCGTGACGAGGCCTCAGGGTGAGAGGCCCACTGGGCCGAGGGACCGGGAGAGCACCGTCACCTCACTTGAGGCTGACCAGGTGATCTCGGCTCTTCTGGAGGCTGAGCCACCCACCGTACTGTCCTCGTATGACCCCGACAAGCCTGTGACGGAGGCCTCGCTCATGGCTGCTCTCACCAGCCTGGCTGACCGAGAGCTCGTGCACATGATCACCTGGGCTAAGAAGATTCCAGGTGAGCCACGGGCAATGGTGCACAAACACTGGAAATGTAAGCGGTGGTGCATGCCTGCAATCCACTGCTTTGAAGGTGGCGTTCGATGTAAAACTTTGTAAACCCCCTGGGATGTGAGGTGGGCAGGAGATGACCGTATAGTAAGCGGGTTTGAAAACTCGTCTGTGCAGACGTTTCAGCGTTATTCAATCAATCACCTGTTGGAATTTCTCTGCGTGCTCCAGTTATCTCTCAGATAGTGTAACACTCAGTGATACAAAGTAGGTGAAGCCCACTAAAGGTTGCTCGTAATATAATTTCTCTCACCTTATTATAGTCAACATATTGTAAATCCAAGTGACCCATGCAAGGAAAAAAATACGTTTCAGATGTAACTGTATGTTAAGACATGCGAAACACTCAAAAACTCAGCATCCTTCTGAAACAGTCTCAAACCCTGTGAAGCACCTCTGGGTAGGTAAATATTGCATTACAGCAGAAATCATTATCTGTGATGCAATAATCCACAAATTCCTGTAATTGCTTTCGTACACTGCAGCACATTGTGCCTGATTGAGAATTATTTGCGAACTGCAAACCGCTATCTGTAGACCTGGGCAGAACTAACAGATCTACAGGAGTGGAGCTGCAGGGAAAATGCAGAGGTAAGCTTTACATACTTTTATATTTTAAATCTGAACAGACTAGCTGCGCTGATGTGATTTGTCTAGTATACAATAATTTGTAATTTTTCTGACTTTGAAATCAAGTCTCTAAATTTTAAGAAAAACTCCTCAAACATAGAACCTCATGGCAGATTTGCAGCATTTAGATTTTATAAAAAGTAATAACCTTATAATCTGCTATTTTTTAAATACATTTAGCTGTTAGTCACGTACCATGGTTTCCTTGTAGTCAGTGAATGTTGTGGAGTAATTGGGTGGGGTGGGTTTTTTGTCCAACAATCCAATGCATACTGCGTTGGCATGGACACGTTCTTTTGGATTATTCGGCGTAACCTCCGCGATGAACAACGGATGCACAATAATACATTTTCAGATATGGGTCACAGCAGAATGTGTATAGCACAATTATTGATTCATAAATATGGCAAGCGAAGGTAGGCTAGCGTGTATTTGTTAATTACATTTAATGACTTGAAGCTTTCGTGACTGCAGGAATTCATATGCTTTATTATTGTATCTGTTATTTAAACAGGAGATGAAACAAACCCATTGAGACGTATGGAACATCATTGCCTCTCTTGCAAGGGAAACCTGGGGAGTGCAGGTGGTGAAAATGCATTGAAGCCCATGGAATGAAGGGGCCCAAGCGCCGGGCAATGAAGAGGAGGAGGAGAAATTGGACAGGGGGCTCCATTTAAATCCTTACACCCAGGGCCATGCCAACCTCGCTACTGTGCCACTGCTTGTGCATGAGCAGCGACTTCTCCAGCAGCCTGAATGCTGTCGTTTATGCTGCAGCTGACACATGCTTGGGTTTCACGTTGTGTGGTGCTCTGTGGGTTCAGGAGTCGTCCAGTATCAATGTTGCTACCTGGTGGAATCTTGGCAATATTTTGAATTGGAAAAGTAAAGAAGCAGCGTGTTTGATATGTGCAGGAGTGGAGTTATAAACACAAATGTACTTTTCATATAAAAAGATGAGCTTGGTTTGTATGGTTTGTACATATGTTGAAGCAGTCATCAACAGTTCCGATTTTCATTGTTGTGCTTTTCAACTCAAGTTGAAAAAATTGATTCAATAGCACTCTGTCTGTAAAGTAGGGCTCAGGATAATTCTTGTAAAATTTGATGCAATATAAACAAACTTTAGTTTAATGTTGTTTTGTTATGAGGGATTTACCATATATGAAATCACGTTAAAGAGTCACGAAACTAATTTCAATATAATTCAAAAAGTGAAAGCGAATTTCCGTTCAGAATCAAACAAGTATGCGGTAGCACCCATCACCCGTGTACAACCCTGATCCTGTTTGATAACTCCACATTCATATGGCATGGATGAGCATGAACAATCACTGCTCATCATTAGCAGCCATTATCAATCCACTGCTGGATGAAGGCCTCCCCAAACCATCACTATCTCTCAATCCAGCAATGTGAAAATCCCAGGTCACTTCTCACAAATTAATGCTCATTTTAAGGATGCCAGTTGGCACCTAACTGGGATTTGAACTCGAAATCTCCTGGTGGTTAATTGCACATTTTTTTGGGATAATATTTACAGATTACATTTCTCGAGAAAAGAAATGTTCTAGACAGCTTGATGACTAAATTTGTTTTATTTATATATAAATAAAGTCTCACTGAGTTTCAAGACTCTTTCAGGAGGGTTTTGCTCAGTTTTTGTGAGGGGCGGTAATGATCACTTTATTCCCAATTAAGTAATTGGCGAGTATTTTTGGAAAATTTGGACCATAACACCAGCACACAATGTTGAACTTCCATTGTGCAGCAGACGCCTTGGATTTTGTGCTTAATAGTTCTGCAGTGTTAACCAGGGTGGCTTGCCAGTTGTAAATCGTGAAGCAATGCAACAAGTGGTGGACATGCTGATGCTCCTGCTGCTATTACCAATGATGTGAATAGATTCTTATACCATGTAAACCACTCATGGGAATTGAAATGCAGTGTATATTTGTAGAGAGCCATGCCATATGGCCAAGTAAATGTATTCTAGCCCCTCAATGTGGGGATTAAGCACAATTTAATCAGATTTATTATTTAATTGCATATGCTCTTTTAAAGTAGTTGATTGATGTTAAAAGGCAAATATTGTAGTATCTCTAGATAATTCTAGTTGCTGTAAAGTTGTATTTGTAGGTTGGAGAAAACCCAAAGAAAACACGTGTTTTTGTCCATAACAACACGTCAATTATTATCATACAGTTACATATTAAGCTGGGATATCAACTTACAAGTTGATGAAAATAACAAGACAGACGGACAACTAACGCCATTGTTTTGCAGTGTGACAAAAGTATTTGAGCGTTGACTTCTCACCAAATATTTTTGCTCCACAGCAGCAGGAGAGGCCATCCTCACTGTGCGGCCCAGCGTTAACAAGAAAGCCTCGTGCTGTTTTGGACAGACATGTCAGTCGTGACGGCCCAGATTTACAAGATACCAAGTTTATGCCAGGATATGTCATGGGGAGTGTCACCTGTTGGCTGCACTACTGGGAGTTGGCTTGTGTCCGGCACTGTAAATGGCAGAGGAAGTACAGTACACTGTGCTCACATCAAGACGCGAGCTGTGCGGGTCAGCCATAGCTACAGCTGCTGCACTTGCATCCTGTGTTTAGTGACGGGAGCCCGCATGTGTTGCTACAGCAGTTGGGCAGTGATGCAGAGTGTGGTCTGCATTTGTGCACTTTTAAATACAACATTATTATTGTTGTTTTTATGATTGCGCTTGTTTATCAAGGAAGGCCTCACTGAGCCTCAATACTCTTTTTAGGGAGGGTCCTACCAAGTCTTTAGAATTGTGGGCAATATGCTATGTTTAATCAAAATTGGGTAATTTGTTATGTAATTTGTTTAGTTTTGGGATGTTTGGCCAATATCATTTTATTTGTGTTTTTTTTTTGTTATGGGAGAAAACCAGAGAACATGGAGGACACCCATGCAGAACAAGGAGAGAAGATACAAATTTTACACAGAAAAGCACCTATGTCTGTAATCAAACCCACGTGTGGAAGCCTACGTGTTGAACAAGGGTTACCTATGCACCACTCTGCCAAACCCATGACACCAAAGTGTACGCAGTAGGCTTTGATTTGATTTGCATCAATCCTCAAAAGTATGATAGGCATTGCACAGAGATTACAGAGTAATGCATAAATAACAATAGTAACATTCCCTGTATTAACCCAGGAAAGCCTCACTGACTCTCAAGACTCTTACTCAGGAGGAAATTGCATTGGGATGCCTCTTCAAATCTGTTAAAGAGGGTTTGGCATGGGAAGAAGTACGCAGAGAAAACCCATGCCACGCAAGGTGGAAACACTCGAAGCTCGATGTTGATGGCTTTAAAAATACAATTTCTGTAATGCAACCTCCTGGCCAACTCGTCGTCCAAGCATACAGTAACCTGATGTTCACCTCTCCTATCCAGTGCTCACCAGGCTCAAAGCTGCTTCGTTTCTGATATACAAATAGGAAAGTAAATTGTCTGTGTTATTTTGACACACGTTGATCTGCAGAAATGAATTCGGGTTCAGGTTTAAAAGGGCTTATTTTTCTGACAGTAATGTATGTTTTATTGATATTAAGTACATCTTTATTTTATACATCATTGGCCATGATGACCTCTTGACCCTAACCTTGAGTGTTTTTCATTCATTGTAATATTTGTAATCATCGTCATAATAAGCAGCAACATATCAAATGTCCATTGATTGGCTGAAGGTCTGGAATGGTTTCTACAATCGAATTAAGTACAGAACATTATTTTTTCGTATATTTTCACTACAAAGTGTCTGTACATGTTCTAATACGTTCAACTAATTTGGTGTAAAGTGAGAGTTGTTTGGTATCTGCCAAGCAAGATGCGACCTTTAGCACAGATTTGTGCTGAGCCCGTAAAATGAGCCAAAGGTCTTAAAAGAGTATGACCAACCTGCCTTTCCATGCCAAAACATATTATTGTCCAAAAATATCATGCTTTCTCTCTTGTGTTTTGCTCAACCATCCTGTGTGTGGGCCAAAAAAATGAGGGGTTTTAAATGCCATGGAAATTTAACAAGGACTCTCCATGCAAAGCCAACATGCAGAAATATGTGTATCAAAATTTGTATGAATGAGGGTAGGAAAAATAACACACGTGCAGACCCAAACCTATTGCATGATTTGTCAGGGTGAGTCATTGATGAACACTAGGCTAAGGCTTTTCGTTGAAATGGTGTATTTTAAGGGAGACCTGAGCAATTTTAAAATCAATTCTGTACAGCACACAATCAAAATACAAAGTACACATCAGAGTTGAAATGTACAAAGA